GGTTGCGTCTTGTCTGTGAAGAACCCATCAGTGTAAGAAAATGAGATGCGGCGGGAGGCCTGAGAGAAAGCCTTTACCGGTTTAGGATCAGCCACAGGTATTAAGCTGCTCTCAGGGCACAAACAAAACGCTGGCAAAAAAAAAGCCCAAGCAGGCAGGTGGGAGCTACAGCAACAGGGAATCGGATAGAGGGAAATCATCGAGGCACACTGTCGCATGGTAATCTGAGGAAAACAGAAAATTGAGGATTTAGTGTTTGTTTTGTGTCAAAATTACCTTCGGATTGTGTCGCCATTTGACGTCAGAATAAAGGATCAAGAAACGCTGATACTGAATTCATAATACTTTGTGCCCACCCGCCCTCATGTTCTTTCAAGCGCGGACTTAACCAGCATCATGTCTGCCTCAGGTTTATCTGGCTGCACCTTTAATCCCGCCTCTATCCCCTCCCTCATACCATGCTGTACCTCGCATACTTCAGAGGTTTGTCCTTTTCTTTCTGGGAAATCACTGGCAGGCGGCAGGAAACGAATCCTCTGCCTGTTGTGGCTCCTCTGGCATTTCTCGCTCGTCATCAGTCTAATGCAATAAAGGCCAGCCACCTGCCCAGGCCACCGCAAACCACCACCTATTACAGCAGCGCGTTTGTCTTTGCACACAAAGACACAGGGCCTCTGTTTTTGGGGGTGGGTGGGGGGGGGACAACCGGTTTGTGCGGCTTCATGTTGAATTGAATTGGGTCAAGTAAAACATATATTTTGAGCACAACTACTAATTCACCAGTTTCATTTCAAAGCTTGTTAACATGTTGCTGCTTTAAATGAAATGCAAGGATTATATAGTTCTTTTATAGGTTTAGAGAGTTCTACACCCTGAGCATATAAAACCATTTCAAAGTGACAATAACTGCTATCACACTGAGACATTTACATTATTTTTTATATACGTGAAGTTTAAGCCCACAGACGACATGTCCTGTGTGTTATAGCGGGGCAATCACAAGGTGCATGTCGATCTGTTAAGGGTAACAGTTCCATGTACACAAGCACACGGGGCTTTAGTCACTACAGTCTTCAGGGAAATAAGACAGGAACGGTGTTGTGTAAAGCTCAATCAACACGTCCTTTAAAAAGCCAAACAGACGTCAGAGATCTTGCATGCGCTGTCCATTTAGTATTAGCGGTAATATAGTCGGATGTATATGATTTATAAGGCAATAGTAATTCAAGGTTTGCAGTTTTTTTTTTTTTTTTTTTTTACTCCAGCTGATCACATCCTCAAATGCCTATTTTGCAGCAGCTGTCACAAAGCAAGATCCTGTAAGCTGCTGTATAAAATCACAAAAACAATAAAATTATGGATGCACAAAGCACAGAAATAGAGGCATGAATGTTTCATGGCTCATATCGCCCCGCATTAGGGAGTACATTGGAACGTGGCCCATACCCTGAATGCTTTCTATCCTTAATACACTTGCTGTCCCTAATGCATTTGCATGGTGAGACTATTTCTGTAAAAGACTAAAATCCTGTTTGCTCCCCAAGGTTGAGAAACGGATGAGGGTCAGACTTTATCGCAATTTTGCCCGATATTCGATAAGGAAAGCAGGGGGAGAAACAGCCGCCCTCCTTTCTCTCACTCCCCCATGTTCAATAAAGCTCCCATTGAGTGGAGGAAAACAGCAGACGCGCCTTTTCTTTTCACCCTGAGGGGAAAGTACCTCACATTGAGGCTATCACTGAAAAGGTCAAGCCTCTCCGAATCTCATGGAAACTCCATTCAGGATACACACTTCCTGTGCCGTACTGGGCTTCGTCTAGCTATCATCTCCGTTACAATAACATTTCTGCAACCCGGCAGCGTGATACGGGCTCCAGAGGAGTAGAGAATGTCAGAGCAACGCGTTGACCTTTTGATCGGCGTGAATATAGATGGGCATCTAACACTCTGTTGGTGTCAGAACAGCAACCTGTGTCTTTCGCATTAACCGTGCCCTTTTTCTCTGTCACTGCTCCGTGTGTGTTTCTATAACACAGCCGACTTTAACATTTAAGCATATTTATATTAATATAGCACCTTTTTTAAAAATGGGATTACAAAGTGCGACCAGAAGTGACACGAAAGTGTGGAGCTTAGTACAACCGAACGCTGAATAAGACATTTTTAGGTGACCAAAATGTTATGCGAGACAAAAACGCGGACAACTCCCAGACCGGACAACGCTGTGGTAGCAATCTGTCAATCACAAGGTAGCCACGCCCTAAAGCATACCCTGCTTTATGGCCTGCTTTAATCTAAATGGACCATAATCGACTTAATAAACATCATGCTGTATTGAAGAAGACTCTAAACTAGCGATTGAGACCATAAACTCATGTTTACTGAGGTAATAAATCAAGTGAGAAGTAGGGTCATATTTTCATAGACTTCTGTACAATTGGACTTATTCTTGCGGCCGGAGGAGTCGCCCCCTGATGGCCGTTAGAAAGAACGCATGTTTAAGGCTTCCCCATTGGCTTCACTTTTCAGAACTGGAGGTTTCCGCTTGGGTTGCAATAAGATGATTAACATTGCCATTTGGATCGTGTTGGCATACTGATGTATGTTGTTAACTAAAAGTACCATTGTGCCCTAAGTACAGCCTCACAGAGCTGCTAGCGTGGCTCTGGACTCTTAGTTGAGAGGTAAGCATAAACAACAGGTAGAAATGTGACCTACTTGGTCAAGATTACAAAAAAGACGCCGACAAGAATGACCGTGAAAACCAGAGTTATCCACACTCGGAACTAAAGACCTTTAGGGATTGGTTTTGCTTGAAAAGAAGTGGTTTGTACGATGTGTTGTCCGTCGCAGAGAGATAACAGCGCACATATTCAGTCTCCTATTCAGTCTCCTAACAAGTCACAACTTGTTTGTTAACAGAAACGGTTGTGTCAAGGATGAAAAAAGAGAGCTAGAAAGAGACGTTCAAAGGTCAGAAAGGTGCGGGGGATTTCTGAAGCTGTTCTGAGTATACTGGCAGCTTTACTGATTGTTGGACTGGGGTCAGATTTGTTGCTAAATCACTCACCACTTACTGTACACACACCACTGGTCTGCTGGCCTTGTGAATTACTGTACCAAAGAAGGTAAATCCCCCTTTCCTCGCATACTAGAGTTTCCTGTAACAAGGCACTCGTAAACGCAACACGTTTTTCTGGATACAACAGCATTCCAGCAAGTACTCAGATAAAAATGTTGGCAGTAAAACAGACCCTTGAATGAATGCTTTAGTGTTGATAAATTCATCATTGATCATGTAGTGTCCGTTTAGCTGCACTGGCATATAAAACAGATCATAAAAGGAGCTACAATATGACATTTTGTAAAGTGTTTTTTGGACGGTTTTATGGCCTAGAAGCACAATAACTCGCTGGAAGAAAATACCCTCGAAAATACACTTTATCCATCGAAATCCCTCTGGTGGCTTTGTGGAGGATTTGTGGTTGCACGCTAGTCTAAAGCAAGACTTGTACCTCCAGCAGGAAAAACAAAGACAAGTGCCTCTTTCACTGTGCCGCCGTGACTGGCTATCCTCCCACACAGTGTGTGCATACACACACACACACAGACACACACACACACACAAGCATAACACTAAGAAGCCAGGGCAGCATTGCCAAGTAGAGCCCGCTACCTCTTACAAACCTCATGTTTATGCACACAGCTCGTGTGTTTGTGGCTGACAGCGGCGGGACTTTGTTGACGCGCAGTGAGGTGAAGAGGAAAGCAGGGATGAGATAATGTGAGTCAGAAGAAGAAGAAGAAGTGAGTAACATAATGAGGGGAGAGGAAGCCCCATGACGGGTCTACAGTTGGGAGTGTTTTGAAAAGAGAAGAAGATGAAGAGGCTGAGACAAACCAAGAAGAGGGAGGCACGAGTTGCAACGTCAGCAGTCAGGAGACCTGTGCGCGTGTGTGTGTGTGTGTGTGTGTGTGTGAGAGAGAGACAGAGTTCCTAGGTGAGAACCGCTGGTATAAGTTAGTTAGAGTGTGTGTGTGCATTGTCCACTATGAGTTAAGATCCCAGATGGAATAGGTTCATATATCATTCTCCTAATGGTGTTGGCCCTGAGTCAACTCTTTGAGATATCTCCCGTTCTCTCTCATTATGACTTAACGACTTCAGGATCCGTCTCCATTTAGCTCTGTTTTAGCTGGGCTGTCATAACTGTTGAGATTTACTGCAGAGCGACGCCCCCACTCCCACTGCATTTAGCAACCCAAACATGTCTCGGACGAGCAGGCGGCTGGATTAATAGAGATTTTCAGTGTTTTCGAGCCGTCGGGATGTTAATATACTTTTCAGGTCCCAACACAAGGCCTTGCTCTACTTCAGCACACCCTCTACTTGTGGAGGCGGTCTGCACTAAACCCATGAAGTGTTCTAATATAAATGTTGATTTTTGTGAGATGGTATCTGTGAAAGAGGTCATGTAAAAGTGTAGAGGATGCAAAAAATTGTTTAGCAGAAGGAGCATGTCACAAGATAAGAATGTTTTTTTTTTTTTTTTAAACTCTATTCGTGGTTACAGTGATTAATTCAAATATTTGCATGAAATTGAATATGTGGAAAGATAGTGTTCAGAATGAAAGGTACAGATGTAAGAGTGAGAGTAAAGCAGTGTAGCAGGGATTGAGAAAAGTACCAGATCCTAAAAGTCCAATGCAGTAAGACAACTTTAAATTATTATTATTATTGATTGAACTGAGTGGAGTTGGTGCAAAACTCTGCATAGGTAAAAGTAAAACATTCCACATTTAAAATGTACTCAAAAGTGGGATTCAATGCACAGAAAAGACTTTAAATTAAAGCAATTTCAGATCATATTAATTACTGAACGTTAGGCTGCAACTATTGACTATTGTCATTATTGAATAATCTGTCTGGTTTGGTGTAAATGCTTTGGTTCACATTATCTTGCGTGTACTGCTACATTCCCTTTGTTTTGTGTCTACAGATGGAAGAGCGAAGCTGCCAGTTGGAAATGGATTGAGAAGATTCTATCCAAACATAGCAAAGACTGTTTCTCTGTCAGCATTATGTTTTGGGCAGCTTTACCATCATGCCATATATGGAATAACCCCGTATTAATTACAAACACTACTACTAAATATTATGATGAATTGGAAATTACATAAAGCCAATAGCTTTAATATTGCTTGCTTGTTTGTCAGTTTTAAATCGGTTTGATTTTGTATTGTACGCTATTGTTTTGAAAGATTAGTGTTGTCTAACATTTCATAACTGTACATATATGTAGTATGTCAGTATTTTGTCCCTTTAAATGCAAAAACTATCATTTCATTAAAATTAAGATTACAATATGAAAATGCAGAAAATTGTTAGAATTACAGCACATACATATAAATTGCTCAAAGGATTAATTCATCGTCAAAATATTGTTTATTTGTTGTCCGCTCATTGCGTTTCAGCACCAGCATTGCTTACGGTAACAATTTAATTTCTGAAACCTTTGTTGCCCATATTTTGAGAAATACACTGATTTGCTTGCCTAAAGATGAATGAGAGGATCGATACCTCTCACACATCTGTCAATCAGACACGGAGCTACAGCCAGGAGATGGTTAGCTTAGCTTAGCAAAGACATTAGCTTAGCTTAAAGCCTAAAGATTGAATTCAGAGAAGTTAGTCTGTGCCTGAGGGGGAAATGTGAGCCGAGTTTGCAAACACAAATACACACAAAATTAATTCACACAGAAAAACAATCTGACATTTGTCTGCTCTCTTGCCGAGTGAGATGGAGAGAACAATGCCACTGTCTTGTCGATACGGAAAACAGGAAACTGCAGCCAGGAAGGTCATTTGTATTTCTTTTTTAATTTTCACAGCTGTTGTTTTGTTTTTGACTCCAGGAAGTCGCGTCATATTTCGGTCTGTCATATTTACCGCACGGACACGAGAGTGGCATAAATCTTCTCATCTAACTGCAGCAAGAAAGCGAATAAGCATCACCCAAAAATGTTTATTGGGTGAATATGAATTATTCCTTTAAAATGAACCAGTCTCTTCATGATGCAGCTGAACGTTAAAGGTCAGCCTGCAGGTCAGGGAGCACCTCAGGCAATCAGAGTAAAATTTAACAAACAAATTGAAAACAGATGACTGCTATTTGTTGAGGAGCAGGGAGGGTGCTGAGGGTCGCTGCTATATCGGGACCTGACCAGCTTAGCGGCCTGCTAGGGGAGGCTTGGCGGTCGACGGAGCCGCACTCTAAAATAAACAGACTTGTACCCAAATGATCCAAACAGGGACACTCATCCATTCAAGCCAGCCTTCATTAAAGTGGTCCACCCAAGCTCTAATTATAGGATTACTGGCCTCTAGTTGGATGCAGCTGCCCCAAAACACGCTGATCACTGTACCTAGTGACCCAGGTATCCACCCACAGACACACACACACACAGACACACACACTCCTGCACAAACCCAAAACACTCATTTACACAGTGCTCGTCTTTTTTCTCCCTCTCCGCAGGGCGCTGTACGCACTCAGTTTGAACACAGGCAAGCCAAACAAGCCGTATACCTGGGTAAGTATAGTGCTGATCGTGTACCTCCCTGACAGACTTAAAAATAAACCCAAGGTGGAGCGGCAAGGAGAGTCAGCCTCACAGTCTGATAGCAGAGGGAGGCAGACAGGGTCAGGAGAACTCTTCTCAATAACACCTTATTATAGCCACAGACAGTCTGGGCTTTTAAGATGTTTTAAGCGATGGCCCAGGGGAGCCTGTATCACCACTTAAGAATCCTGATTCAAGGGGAGTGATGCATCCTTCCTACCTTTCTTGATATTTGGTCATCTGTAGGCCGCTCAGGACCTCCCTGTGTTTTAGTTTTGTCATTCAATCCCTCTGTGGTTGGATCAGGAAATCAATTAGCTGGTTGCTGGTTTGACCAAAAATGAGGAAGTGATTGTATCTGCTTAAGTCCAGGTTTGGAATGAACTGGGATACAGAACTGGGATTCAAACTGGGATTATAACTGGTCCCTTTATTTTAATTTGCCAGGGCTTTAGCCATGCTAGCAGCATGGCTCTAGGAATGCTGGTTTGTCGGTCCAACACTTTGGTCCAGACAGCAATATGTCATCAACTATTCTATAGGGCTGATGTGTTCATGGCTGTTCTGTAGTCTTTGTAATAATATTTCATGATGGATCACAGATGTTTTTAAACCCTGCAAGAAAAGATATTTTGGTGAAACATTGATTTCTTGACATTTGATTGTACTATATACCTTTTACATTTTTACATCATATTTGTGGTACTTTTTTTAAACATTGTACTGGCATAAAATATGGGTTACAGGTAGCTTCAACTCACTGGCTGTGAATATACTAATGAGAACAAAACAGCCCACTTTAATTGAACTGTTTAGTCACAATGAATAATGAAGGAATACATTGTACATTTTGTAGATGCACTGTTACTGTTGTAGAGCTGCTGATCTGTAAAGAGCTGCCAAAATGTTTTTTTAAGCCGTCGGGTATCATCTCCAAGAACAATGAATCACATTTCTTCTAAATTAGATGCCAATTATTTTTTGTCTCCAACCTCAGTCCTTCTGTAAATAAAGAACAAAGTGATGATCACAAAGAGAACACATCTCTCTCACACATCCCTAATATGCAATCAAGCAGAATGTCAACCTTGCTTTGTGCCGACACCCCACAAGTGATAATTGTGTAAACAAAAGGCGCATCATTCATTCACACATTGTAAGGAAATGCATGAAAAGGGACAACAAAGGAATACAAACAATATCGAGAATACAATAAGAAGCGCTTCGGGTGAGAGCAATGCAGAAACAAGCATTTCAAACACGCCACCAGGTCTTCTGTGATTGTGGTTGTTTTTAACCGAAGTGATCATCCTGACAATTTGAACGTGTCTGTGTTTGTGTTTACACATCTGGCTTCCGAACCCGAGACGGAGGTGAGGAGGATGCTGTGAGCGGATGAGGGTCGAGGAGGCGGAGGAGCAACGGGAGCGGCGCGAGGCTTATTGGGGCCAACAGAGGGCATCGTTATCTGTAATATCTATTCAAATGGGCCGCATCAGATGCAGTGAGTGCAGCTCCGCTCGGGGATGGAAATTAGTCTTGTTCTCCACTCAGCCCTGGTCACGCCAAGGGCAGATCCAGACAAATGAATTTACTCAGACAATACATATGGATCGCCGGCGATACGGAGGGATGTGTGAGAGGCGGAAACAGTGGAGGGATGTGAAGCCAACCTGCCCTCGCTTTCTTTTCCTGTACAATACTAAACAGCTGCCAGCATCTTACTACCATGCAGCTTCAGGGGGACTTTCACATTTCAATTTAATGTTGTGTACATGTTTTTTTTGTTGGCCTGTATTAGATAGACAGGACGGACGGTAAAGGGGAGAGAGAGAGACTGGGGACGACATTCAGAAAAAGAACCACGGATCAGATTTGAACCCGGGCTGCTTAAAGTTAAATTGAAACGTAATCGAGACATATTTTTTCAAAATGCATTAAGCTCTTCCTGATACTTCCAAATGATAAACTCACACCATTGGGACACAACCACACTTGGAAAAAGTAAAGTCCTGACTTAAGATAAAATAACCCAGGAAGAAAATGGCAACAAGAACAAAATGATATGCTATAAAACAGTTTCCCATTCATTCATTTACTCTAAATAGAGGTGTGTCTAGATATAGAATTTCGGCAAAGAAAACAAAAACGTCTTTTTTTTTTTTTTCAATTCTACTTGAATCACCTCTTGCTTGAATCTCTTTGGCAGACTTTGTACAGTAGCAAAGCTCACCCTTCACCGTGGTAGTGCAGATAGGAACACGGATAGCGCTATCTTGCTATCCTCCCTGTGCTATCTCACTGAGAGACACTGTGAAGTGTAGAGGACATAAATCTTGTGTATTTACGACCTGTGCTGTAGTCAGCTATCTGTTAGGATGCCCTCCTCCTCCTCCTCCTCCTCCTCCTCTTCTTCCTGATCTTGTCTGTGCAAGGTCTAGGTGCTTTTAATGCTGTTTGTCACACGGGATATCGGAGGATGCCGTTTCTCAATCAGCCTGTTGTGTCACAGATTACGATCAAAAGGAGCTCTGTCAAAAAAAAGAAAAGAAAAAGGCTCGGTCTTAGAAAATGTGAATGTTGCACACAAAGGGTGGAAGTGGACACTGGTAATCACGGAGTTTGATTCTTCTGTCTGTGGATTTGTTGTTTTCTTACACTGCTCTATGTCACGATAGCTTGCATTTCTGCCCAGTAATAGAGTGAGATTATTCATTTGGAGTTGCAAATTGTCATCTCACAAAAGTCCACTTCAATTACCAGACCTGAAGCTCTAATGTCATTTGACAGCATAAAATGAGAGTTAAAAAAAAAAAAGAAAAAGTGTCGATGTATCAGCCAGACGGTGCGAGACAATCCCCTCGATGCTGAGAAGCTCGGCTACAATTGCACAGGACGGGGCCTTGTGAGGAACCATTGACCCATCGACTGCTGTGATCCATGTCTGACTGACATCAATACACATTCATCTCTGCTTGTTTCACCCCAGGCCAGTAGGCCACAGGCTACAGTGGCTGGCGTGAGATCTGGACGGGCAACAAGCATCACTTTGTCTCCCGCGCTCGCACTATCACCGACATCAAACACCAAGAGGAGGCGATCCGATGGACCTTTTGCTTTGTTGGGAATTAGTCACTGTTAAAGGGCCCTGAAATGTCATGTGGCTCTAACGTATGGAAACCTGCCATGGAACAGGCGTTCCTTTAGCAGAGATGCAACAATGTTTGCTCTGTGTCTCACACAAAAGTCAATGCAGTGGAGCTCTGAATCCATTGTTAGTCACTTGACACCTGATGCATTTTTCTTGTTGTAAACCAATCTCTTCCTGCTCAGTCTACCACACACACACACAGACCTTCAGATTAGCGAAGACCTCTATGCTGCTGTTTTAATTTTGCCTCTACATCGGCTTCATTAACATTCACAACTAATGTTTTGTTCCACTGGGTAAACATCTTAAGCCATCTCTACTCTTCTCTCTTATAAATCTATTCCGTTAGTACAAGAGCCATCTCCCCCCCCCCTCTCTGTTTTTCTCTCTCTCTCTCTCTGGGCTCTTTTTAATTATAAACTAATCTAGGGAGGTAATCACAGACAGCATGATCACTTACTCATGCATATATGCCATACTATGAAATGCAAGCAGTTTATTACTCTCTCTACTGCCTATTTACAGCCACCAGGAAGCATGGATGCAGCCGTAATGCTGTGCCAATTAGCCGTAAAAAAGAAACATTAGTGCACTGATTGGATATTGGAGAGAGGCGGGTTGGTGTGTGTGCTTCACGTGGTGTATATATAGGTTAGAGGTCAGAGCAGCAAAAAAAACAAAGGGTGTGGAGTCAGTTCATTTCTCTAGTCCTTTATTTTTGCCTTTTCGAAGGCTTTAAAAGGTGCTTTGTGGTTTTCATTTCATGCAGCCTTTGAACTTCATTGAGGATGTGATTGGTGCTGAGTGGCAGCCGTGCAGGATGGAACTGGATCCTCAGACTGATGAGCGGTCTAATAGGCCTGTCTAATGTATCATCGATGGATTGACTGCTGTCT